GCCATTTTGCCAGCTTTGGTGGTGGAGCAGCTTCCCTCTCCGACACCTTCCCCGGTTCAGAAGCAGGAAGCTCGTTGTGCTGGCGTGCTGTGAGTGACCTGGCACGGCAGGGATGGCAGGAAGCGGGCACCCTGCAGCCGGGCTGGGTTTTGTGCTCCTGCAAAGGAGGATCCTGCTGCTGTGCCGCACCACTGCGAAACAAGTCAGCGCCAACCCCCAGCAGCGATTCAGATGCGTGACGTTGGGAATTGCTCCACAGCCCATTTCCCATCCTCCGCTCCTGATTCCTACAGTTCGACTTCAGGGCTTTGTATTTTATTGTTCCCCAGAGGGTCAGGGCTAGGGATACTGGATAAAAGTGAACACGTTTCACTTCCAGTGTTTGCTGTGTTGGTGGCTGGTTTTGTGATAACGTTTGATTGAAATGCAGAGTCCTTTCTGGGTTGGTTTAATTTTGGTCATCCTTCCGAGTGGAAGATTTTGTTGAAGACTAAAAATCCCTCCTGTAATAATTTGGTTTTCTTCCACAAGGATCTTTTTATGCGAATCCATCGGTCTAAAAGTCAACCTGTTAAAACACTGGTCCCTTTTATCAGGGTTCCACGTACAGTGCAATTCTGCAGCCACAAATTTTGGCATAAATTCATCAAATACTAAATTTTACAGCTTTTTAGGGGTCTTGTTTTTCCATCTGTTGAGGCACTTTTATAAAAGGGAATCTGTTCATCTGGAGAGCTGATTTGCAGGATACATTCTAGTGCAGTCCTCCCACTGAGAGGCTCCGTGGTTGGTATCTGTAGGCGCTTCAGCGCAGCGCTGTGCTGGTGCTCACACTTGCTCTTTCCTAGAACAGCACACGGTGTGGTTTCACACGTTGCTCAGCCACGTAGGGCTGCCTCTCAGCGAAGTCCACAGAGGATGTAAAGCAGCAGTGGCCTTCTTAATTACTGCTGGGTCATCTTCATCACCACCCAAGTTCCTGGTAGTGACATCTAACAAGATTATGGCAGCAGCGTGTCCTAAATACAGTTCTTTAAATAGTGAACATTTTCAGACAGAGCTGCGTTCTTAGGATTGTTGTGTTCTTACCAACCTTATCTAAAATCACAAATGAGGATCAAATGGTTTGACGTTCTGTACTGTATCAATTACACAACTTACAGATTTCATTGTTCAGGGATGTCACCAAGAAGAGTGGCCAGCCAGCATTCCTATTCTTTGAATAGGTTAGTACTGTGCAGGTTGAACAGTTCACATTTTTGCAGGTGCCCACGTGAAGTTTGCACTTCTTCCTGAGTACATTTGGAATTCTGCTCAGTTACACTGAAAAAAATCTGGTCTTAGGAGACTGACTATTTCCGTTTTGGCAATGTGTGCCTAGATTTCTCCCTAAATCTGGCACTTCCTATCATGGGCAGAGTTAGGTTTTTTGGTGAATTGCTTCAGTGTAGGTTGCAGTATGTATGAAATAAGTAATTTATTTCAGTAAATTATCTTCTGTCTTTAGTTCGATTACTTTTCTGCCTTATTGTAGGTGCGTATAGCTGCAAAATTCATCACTCATGCACCCCCTGGAGAATTTAATGAAGTATTCAATGGTAAGTAAATAAGGAAAAACCATCAGTGATGTTTTCTTCACGTTTCATCCATTACAGGAGTCTAAGTCTGTGCCACAATGTGCTGCTTTTAAGGTTAAGAAGTGGTGAGGGAAAAGCATGCTGTCCTTCTGTGACTACATGTGCTTAATTAAGTAATTTAATCATTTTAATGGTTGCATTTACGCAGTTGAAATTGGAATGCATAAAAAGAAACATTTGATCCAAAAAAATGCAATAACCAACCTGAACTCTCTCTTCTCCAGATGTCCGGTTATTGCTTAACAATGACAATCTTCTCAGGGAAGGAGCAGCACAGTAAGTACTAATATTTCAGACAAAGTCACATCGCTGTCAGAGATGCATCCGCTTTCTTACAGCCATCATTCTGCCACAAAGCCAGCATTTGTTGTATTGAGAGCAATCTTCTGTAACTCCTTATCCCTCCAAATTGGAATTTGTGCTGTAGAGTCCATACAAAACTGACAGGAAGGCACTCTGCCAAAAAGTTTAACTCTGCAGCAGCAAAAATGTCTGATCTTGTTGAAGCGTGACATGTAAAGCAAGTGAAGCCTGAAACACTGAGTAATCCTTAGCCAAAGTTCAGAAAAAGAACTGCCCTCAAAAAAAAAAACACCAATCAAACTTGAAAATATCTTGTTTACCTGCACAGGCTCATCAGAAGGTGCTTAAAGGCTATGCCTACAAGCTTTTTTATGCTAAAATTGTGCTTCAAGCGAGGTGACATGTCAGTCAGCAGGTCTTTACATGAGAAAATTGTCGTAAATATTAGTCTACTCCTTTGTTTACCTTGCTGCTGTCTAAATTGTAGCTGAGGTGTTCCTGTTTGCCTTGGCTTGCTCATATTCCCCCAGGCTGCTTGCTGTTCTACTTTTGAACTCTGTGCTTTCCTGGTCATCACTAAATAAATCTGGCTTTAGACCTGGGTTTTTACAGCTGTCATCAATAAAAGGTATTGAAAAATCCTTTACGAGTGCTCACGTGCACTATTTGCCAAATTGAGTTGAAATTTTCTGTAATATAAATCACACCACGTGTAAAATAAATGTGCATGTACAGCTAAAGTTCCTGTTCCTTTAATTCTGAACAGTGCGTTTGCACAGTACAACATGGATCAGTTCACTCCGGTGAAGATAGAAGGCTATGATGATCAGGTAAGAGAAAACTTTTTGCACTTGAGGTTTATATTACTGCACTGTGCAAAAACAATAAACATGTTTCATAAAGATCTGGACTAGTTTCATTCTACTCATGAGTTACCACCTCTCCTCCTTCCCCTACACACCATGATATTACCAAACTTTTGCTCTTACAGAAGGCACATAGGTGAAATGTTCTCTCAAAGTATTGTCTGATACTGCCCAGTAACTCTAATTCATCGTTCCTCCGTGCTGAATTCTACTTGGAGTATGAACGATGAAAGATTACAGTGTATTTAAAGCCCACTTACAGCTCCTTATGTTGCCACCTGCTTACAGTTCCTACTGACAATCGGTAGTAGACACTTAATAGTTTTGATTTTTTTTTTTCCCATTTTCTGCATTTTTAATCTATTCCCAGTTACCCTAAAAAATATACTGTCTGGTTGATTGTACCAATCTAATACTACACAGTCCATGACAGTGAAACAGTTGTTTTTTGAGAACAAGAAGCAAGTCCTACAGAAGACAGAAAGCTGGCCTGGCCGTCTGTTCTGCTCTCTGAACCAAGGACTGACCTGGTGTTTCTGGTGTCCCAGATATGTTCGTGGGAGGCAGGTGTTCTCCAGAGGTGTGTCCATAGAAATAGCTTTGACAAGAGAAAGAGTACTCAGCCTCACTACAACTCTCTTAGTGGAAATTATTACTGAAAATCCTTGTTTCTTTATGTAATATATAACTCAATGAAAGAATCTGTCGGAACATGGATACGTGTTCAGACAGTCAGGGAGAAACGCAAACCAACACACTTACAGCAGAAGTGTATCTTAATTTCAACTTCTTTTACAGGTCCTCATCACAGAACATGGTGATCTGGGCAATGGCAGATTTTTAGACCCAAGAAACAAACTTTCTTTTAAGTTTGACCATTTAAGGAAAGAAGCCAGTGACCCCCAGCCTGAGGACACGGAGTCAGCTTTAAAACAATGGAGAGATGCCTGTGACAGTGCACTGAGAGCTTATGTGAAAGATCATTACCCCAATGGCTTCTGTACTGTTGAGTATCCATCTTGTTTCGCTGAAAGCTCATTGCTCCATGTCAGTCAGTACCTTGAGTGGACTTTGTGCTGGGCAGTGCTGTTTGAATTCTCCATCTTCACTAGTGGTTTTGGTAACTTTGGAATAACAATTTCCAAAGAGGAGGCAAATAGCTTGGTATGCACACAGAGCTAAAGATGTTTTAGACGTTATTTTTCATAGTCACGACTGCCAAGCACCTCGACACCTGCAGTTAATAAAAAGAGGCATTATTTGCACATATGTGCAAGTGGAGGTGTTGGACAACATGATTAGTGGTAGATGTTCCCAGTGAGATACAACAGTAGCGAGCCTTCCTGATGCTGCCAAGAACAGAAATTGAGAATGGCTTTCCTTAGCTCTTGGACCTTTTTAACTCTTTTTCTAAATACAGGTTTATGGTAAATCTATAGATGGGCAGCAGACAATTATTGCCTGTATTGAGAGCCACCAGTTCCAGCCCAAAAACTTCTGGTAAGACTATTTCAACATAGTGTATTTTCTTCCTTTACTAGTCCTCAGACAAACCCTTCCTCTTTGTCTTCTGACACAGTCTCAAGGGCAAGTAGTCTTGGACTTCCCGGGAAGTTCTGCTTCTCATTCTGTAGTCTGTTTTCCTTGCAGCCCCCTTGGCATTTCCCTAAAGCCATCAGTGGCTCAATGACTTACCCAGAGAGAAAGGTGTTAGCAGAGTTAGATGGATGCCCCCACACATGTTCCAGAGCACAAGTACGCTGGGGCTAGTCTGTACTGAAGCTGCACTGTATTCAGCTGTGCTTCAGAAATTTAATTCAGTGCCATGTAAGGAACTGTAATATTGGTCATAAGGTGACAGCAGAAACGACTTGCTCTTGTTAATGTGGTTCTTTTTGTTGCTAGAGCTTTTTGGAAACACAGTTTTCATGCTTTAACTGTTTTTAGGAACGGTCGTTGGAGATCAGAGTGGAAGTTTACCATCACACCACCGACAGCTCAAGTGGCTGCAGTGCTCAAGATCCAGGTGAGTTACTTTTTCTGGCAATACCAGGAGAAGCTGCATTGTGCTTCTCTTACACTAATGCATTCGACTCAGAATGAGATGCTGAAATACAGCTGAGATGTCCTCCTCAAGCCAAAATGCTATTAAACTGTAGAATTCAGGAAATTAATTCTTAAAACTAGTGTTTCAGACGTTGTCTACAGTCTGCCTGTGGTTTATTGTACAGCATTACCCTCTATGCCTCCCAGTCTGCTTCGTTTTGTAGGGCTAAAACCTATACCATGAATTCTTTTATAATTGCTCTTATTTCAACTCTAGGCGTTTACTGCATTAACATAATCTTGAACAGTCTTGACAAAGAATGAAACCTTTTAGAAAATCCATCCTGCTTTTAGTCTCCACGTAAGCAGAGAAGACTGGCACAACAATGCTGTTGTGCCATTCTGGTAGCATTTGGGGGCTGTAGGGATTACAAAATGGGTGTTAATGATAACCTGCATTTGGTCTCTTTGTTCAGGTTCATTATTATGAAGATGGCAATGTTCAGCTGGTTAGTCATAAAGATATCCAGGACTCTGTACAGGTTTCAGTAAGTATGCTAAAAGAAGCAGCTATCACATTCCTCAAACCTCTCATGAAGCATACAATTCTGTGACTACGTTCTCTTGACTTGAAGGTGACGTTGTTTTAGGGTGCCTAGTCAGTGCAGTTGTAGTGTTTAGAGTTACATGGGAAACCCAGACTCTCAATTGCTTGGACGTTGTTAGAAAGTGCAGTCTCTGTTGGAAATGTTGTCTTACGAGTTTCGGTTAAGAGGGCAGAATATGCTTTTTGGTCTACATGCAAGGGAAGGGAACAGAACTAAGGGAAAAGAGTAAGTCCTGTAGCACAGCAGAGGGAGCAACAGTCACCAAATCCCTAATCTATACCATGAAGGTCTACTTCCCTTTCGCTCAGTAGGGTGCAGTCCTGCTCCAGTTTGGAGCACAGGCTCTAGCCAATACATACCTCTGCCTTGAGCCTGGTGGAGACATCCATACTGAGAGAAAGGGACCCAGCTACAAACGGGAGGCAGAAGCTGCTGGTGTTACCTGCTTCATCTATACTCAGCCTATCATTTGAGAAGAAATCTATTGTGTAGCTTTTGTAAGTTGCTCTTACACTTACAAAAATTTTATTTTTCCCCTTTGTAGAGCGATGTCCAGACAGCTAAGGAATTTATTAAGATAATAGAAAATGCAGAGAACGAGTACCAGGTAAGATCAGTGGTTGTTAAATAAATATGATGGAATCATATCAGTCTCCATTTGCAGTTAATGGAAACATGGAAAATTGACCTCTAATTCAATTTCTGGATGAATCTGGTATTGACTGTAAGAATTACTTAGAGAAGAGAGCAGTGGTGTTTGTTTAAAGAATATAGTTGTAAAGCTGTGTGTAATTAATAGCCAGGTTTGCTGTATAGTTGTTTTAAAGGGTTACAGATGATGCCTGGAACAAGCATGGAAGGGGACTGGGTGAGTCTAAGTGTCTTCCTCTGTGACAGTTAAAAATACTGAAGAGCTGATGTGTGTGACAGCTTTTCACATTGTCCCAGCCTGCGTGCAGGGAGACTGGACACAGAGGAGTCAGTGAAACACCTAAGGAGACGCTGCTGCGTTCACAGGGGAGCTTTGCAGAACCCTTTTCCTTGCACACACACTGCAGCCTGCTCTATTTGTTTAGTTAACAGCGTGCCTCCGCCTTGTAGAGAGGGGTGTGTGGCTTTGAGTCACGCTTTCTCAGAGTGTCTTACTGCTGCCATAAGTGAGTTGCCTTGCCCTTGCAGACAGCCATCAGCGAGAACTACCAGACTATGTCCGACACCACTTTCAAAGCCTTACGCCGGCAGCTGCCCGTCACCCGCACCAAGATCGACTGGAACAAAATCCTCAGCTACAAGATTGGCAAAGAGATGCAGAACGCTTAACGCGGGGATAGGGAGAGTCACGGAACGTTTGTGTGCAAAACCAAGCGTGGTCCTATGCCAAGTAGATGGTTTCGAAACCAGTGCAGCGTTTTTCTAGGGCTTTCAAAGCTATCAGGTTTTCTAGCCTCAGAACTGTGGAACAAATAGCGTGTCTTTGTGTCTCGTGTTCCCCGCGCGTAAACCTCCTGTTGTGACTGCGTTTACTGATAGCTCGTTTCAATTCAGCCACATTCATGGGTCAGAAGTGTAGTTGTTTTTAATCACTGATTGTACTGGTTGGAAAACTTCCTAGCTGGAAAAGCCCTACTATAAATACAGCTGAGGGTGCAGAGCGTTCCCTTCACCTGTATACAGCAGCCCAGGTACTCCAGCAAGTTTGTCAAATCTGCCAACAGCTCAAGGCATTTTGCTGCAAGATGTAATAAATGCAAAAGACAGTCAGTCCTCGTGTATCCTTATTGCTGACCTCCACAAAGCAAGAAGCCTGCAGGCTTAGATTTTGCTATATAAAATGAGTTTACAAGATCCTTTACAGAAATCCCCACGCAGCCAGCTCTTCCAGGGTTGTACTATTGTTGTTTCTTTTTTTAATCTGAAGATTTGAGCCATGTTCCCTAAAAGTGAACATTTTTGCTCTCCCCTCCCTCATGTATGTACGGTTGTCAGACATCTGCATTTTTACAAAACTATGAGTTCCTGTGTTGGATCACCGCTGATCCGTGTAGGCTGGATGGTGATTAAAAATGCAAATGTCTACAGAATAATAGGTATGTTGTGCTTTAATGCTTTGTGGCAGGTTCATAGAATTTGTATCACAGGTGTATGGATGGATATTGTACAAAATAAATAAACTTGCACCAAAGTGAGAGAAAAAAACCTTTCCAATTTGTCTCAATTGTGGCCAGTTTCTTGTCATCCTTAGAGGGGATTTTGGAATTCATCTCTTCCTTGCTCTCTAAATGCCTGCTCAATGTTACTTTGCTTTTCTGTAAAATCAAAACCAGCAGTCCTGCCGGCTTCTCTTAGGGGAAGTTGAAGAGGTGCGTATGCCTTTCTCAGTCAGAACTCGGAACACGAATTCCCTGCAAAATTAATCCCCTTTGGAGAACTCACTTTGCTTTTTTTTTGCACTTGGTTATCACTGGGCCGCCTTGCAGGTTCTGGTTTTTAAACTGGATTGTGTCTTTCTGTTTTTAAATAGACAAAGAAAGGGGTTGGGAAGATAGGGATGGGGCTGCCTGTGCGTCACACTTCAGGTTTTGCACAGTAATCCCACAAAACGAGCGTGTCTATCCTTTGGGAGAAGTTTTGTCTAAATAAAATATACTTGTATTTGCTGTTGAGACTGACCGTTCATCCTACAGGCACCCGCTGTATCCAACAGAATCACGGAAATACACCAGTCTGTTTTCACACCGTTCGTGTCTGTTCTTTCGTCATCTCACTTCTGCTTCTGAGGAAGCCTCTTCCGCTCAAAAAGGTGAAGCTACTGGTGCGGCGTGCGCGGGGTGCGCCCGACGAGCGGGGCGACCTCGGAGGGTTTGTGTGCCCAGCGGCTCAAGGACAGCGCGTCTGCCCACGGGTGTTTGGGGAGAGGGTGTCCTCCCCC